AGGCAAACTGGGTGTGGGGGAGTGTTGGTCACCCCAGCCTGGTCCCTGCATCCCATGGGCTTGAAGACACAGCAGCCTGGAGCCAGGCCACAGCTGAGCAGGCATCGGCCCGTCTAACAGAAAGAAAATCTGAGGCTCAGCCAGGCATGGTGCCTCAACCTTGTACTCCTAGCACTTTGGAAGGCCAAGGTAGGAGGATGACTTGAAGCCAGGGGTTCAAGACCAGCCTGGGCAACATAGTGAGACCCCGTCTCTACAAAAAAATTAAACATTAGTCAGGTATGCTGGTGCATGCCTGTCATCCCAGCTACTCAGGAGGCTGAGGGCAGAGGATGGCTTGAGCCCAGGTCAAGGCTGCAGTGAGCTATGATCACACCACTGCACTCCAGCCTGGGTGACAGAGTAAGACCCTGTCTCTAAGAAAAAAAAAAAAGACATATTTTTTTTAATGAAATAAAAGAAAACCTGAGGCTCCGAGAGATCTTGTCTCAGCTGAGGCCACGCAGGTAGAACGGGGAGGAGCAGAGTTTGCTTACTGTGTGTGGCAGGCAGCATAACGCCTCCTTCACATTTGCTAGAGTAAATGTATTAAACAACAACAAAAATGACATGTGCAGAAGCCCCTCCCGTGGAGGGATGACTTCCTCGTCTCACTGGCTGCTGACCTCGGTCCTCCTCAGCCTGTGTCCGCTGGCTCTAACGGTGCCATCACACCGATCAGCAAGCAAGGCCCAGAGCGGCGGGGTCGCTCCCAGGCCCCACCTTCCACCTCTCCTCTCGCCGGAAGGCAAAAAAAACAGTTCCACAGTAGAGGGCCAGGGCAGGGCCCCGACGGAGGGGTCTCCAGTGGCCACATCCTACTTGTCTCAACACCTGCCTAACGGAGTAGGTCAGAGACTGCTCGTTTTGCCTCTTTGGCCCTAAAACCAGGCTGCTTCTGGCCCAGGCGCCATCTAGACCCCATGTGGGCCGCATCTAGGCTGTGTGGAGGAGCAGGCTGCAGGGAGCCCAGACTCCAGCTCCAGAGACCCCGCCGTGTGGCCGTCCTGAGCGACTCAGGAAAGATCCTCGGGGGGCTCCACGTTGCTGGGAACCTTGCACTGAGAATCCTGAAACTGGGAATCAGAGCAGGCAGGATCTTGGAATGTTAAAATTCAAAAGACTGAGCATCTCAGGGTTTGGGTCAAGTAGTCACCAAGAGAAGGAAAGCCCCCAGATAACTGAAGCACAGGCAGCAGATCTGAGTCTGGGTAGACAGGACACACCTCGCCCTGCCCTGACCTGGAGTCACATCAAACCAGGTCAATCCCAGCTCTGTCCCTTAGAAGCTGTGTGACCTTGGGCAACTCACCTCACCTCTCTGAGTTGTGGGTTCCTTAGCTGGAATACAAGGACAACGGTAGCGCCCGCTTTTTATGGAGTTGTTGTGGGTTGAAGAGGGCCAGGGAAATGCCAAGTCCTCCCAGAAGCCTTTCCAGATTGCCCCAGGCATGATTAGTCACCTCCCGTGTTTACATCATTTCTGCTGTTCATTTACTTTCTAAAAATGTATTCACATTGACTCCTAAACTTCCAGAATACAAGAACTACAGCTGTCTTGCTGATCAGGCCACAGGCCCAGGATTTAGCCGACAGGCAGGCACACACCTCTCGAAATGCTTGTCCCGGTGGCTGGCAGCCACAGTGGCTGTCTGCTCTGCTGCCCCCACCAGACCAGAAGTTTTCGGAGGGCAGGAGCTCTCCTGGCATCCCCAGGGGCCTCACTAAATGCCTCTGCAGAAGAGGACATGTGACTGAGGCAGGGGGACGTGCATAGCACTGCACAGCACGTGCTGTCTTCAGACTTTTCACACCACGTTAGACAGCTGACACCTTCCAACCTCTTTCCATCATCTACTCCAACTCACATCAGGGAGCCACTGTAGACGTGGTTTCCCTAATTATCATCCCCCTCACGACATGTTTATTTATTTATTTACTTTTAGAGATAGGGTCTGGCTCAGTCGCCCAGGCTGGAGTACAGTGGTGCAATCACAGCTCACTGCAGCCTTGAACTCCTGGACTCAAGCGATCCTCCAAGTAGCTAGGACTACAGGTGCGTGCCACCAGACCCAGCTACTTTTAAATTTTTTGTAGAGATGGGTTTTCACCGTGTTGCCCAGGTTGGTGTCAAACTCCTGGGCTCAAGAAATCCACCTGCTTCAGCCTCCCAAAGTGCTAGGATTTACAGGCCTGAGCCACCGTCACCAGCCCTCCTCACAAAACGTTAATAGCACAGATATGCTGTATATCTGTTTAATGTTTGGTGGTTTACAAACCACAGTGTTAGTAGAGATTTTTTTGTTACACCCCACTCCCCCCACCTCCAGCCCGCCAAGAACCAAGTTACACCTGTTGGAACCCAAATTTGCTAGCCTGACACAGAGGCAGTAAGGTACTTGGCACAAATGAATTCAATGAGACCTACATGTGGTTAGTTGAACAACTGTCTTTAAACGGTTTTCTAAAGACCCCTGTGCAGACAGACAGATTAACAAACACAGACCCCCAACACACACACACCGGCCATCTTATCTCCTTCTAGACCACTGGCCCCCACTGCCATCTTCCTGTTCAAGTTCAGCAAAGGAGATCGAGACACAGGCCTAGGGTCACCACGAACTCCACGAGCATCCTGCAGCCAGAAGCCACGCCGCCAGAGGCAGCTACTTCTCCCCTGCGAGCCTCAGTTTTCTCATCTGGAAAAGGGGCACCATCCACCCTCCAAGGTTCTCAGATGATTGATTCTGCAGCTCCTCCGAATGCCCCGCTCTGGGCCCAGCCCGGTAGCCCAGCCCTTCCGCTGAGGTTTAACTCCCCTGGCTGCTGGCCAAGCCTCTTGAGGGAGGCATCAACCGCCCAGGGTGCCGCCTCCCTAGGCAACCCCAGAGGAAGAGACTCTGGGGCCGTCCGAGGGCCTTGGAGCCACCTTCTGAAGCTCCGGCCCACTGAAGGGCCTGGCTCTGGGGGCCTCAAAGTCAGAGGTGGAAAAAAAAGGAAAACAGAAGAAAGAGGAAAGAGGAAGAGAATTCCAGGCAACAGAAGCCCAGATACAGACACTATGGTGTGTGTGTGAATGTGTATACAGCAGGGCGCAACCAGCCCCCACCTTTTCCTTTTAGTGTTCTGAAAGTATCTCAAATACAAACTAATAAGAGTATTCTAATTTTTTTTCTTTTTTTTTGAGACGGGGTCTCACTCTGCCACCCAGGTTGGAGTGCAGTGGCACAATCTTGGCTCACTGCAACCTCCCCCTCCCAGGTTCAAGTGATCCTCCCACTTCAGCCTCCCAAGTAGCTGAGACCACAGGCATACACCACTATGCCTAGCTAAGGTTTTGTATTTTTGGTAGAGACGAGGTTTCACCATGTTGCCCAGCTTGGTCTCGAACTCCTGAGCTCAGGCGATCCACCTGCCTCGGTCTCCCAAAGTGCTGGGATTACAGGTGTGAGCCACTGCACCCAGCCAAGTATTCTAAGTATTATTATTGTTTTCCCTTTTGCTAACAATAGTATCCTAATTCTAATATTTTAATAGTTTGCCACAGACAAGTGTCATTTTCTCAGTCTTATAAAAAGTGGGAAGAATGCATCTTTCTCTGAAAATCACTTTTTTTTTTTTTTTTTTGAGACGGAGTCTTGCTCTGTTGCCCAGGCTGGAGTGCAGTGGCCGGATCTCAGCTCACTGCAAACTCCGCCTCCCGGGTTCACGCCATTCTCCTGCCTCAGCCTCCCGAGTAGCTGGGACTACAGGCGCCCGCCACCTCGCCCGGCTAGTTTTTTTGTATTTTTTAGTAGAGACGGGGTTTCACCATGTTAGCCAGGATGGTCTCGATCTCCTGACCTCGTGATCCGCCCGTCTCGGCCTCCTAGAGTGCTGGGATTACAGGCTTGAGCCACCGCGCCCGGCCCTGAAAATCACTTTTTTATGCATCCATAAAATATGCGGCTTCAATACCAATCCTGCATCCCTCTACTTTCTGGAATCTTCCAGACCTAATCTCAGCTCCGCCCCTAAACAAATCCCTTCACCTCTCCTGGCCTCAGTCTCCCATCCAGGAAAGGAGAAGGTAAGATCATTTCTAGGGAAACACTCATGGTTTCTCTGATTTTCAAATTCAGAATGCCCCCAAGCCAGAAGCCGCAGGCAAACTGGCCAGGGAGGGAAGTAAGTTAACGGGAGGCTGGGGCTGGTAGGTCATGCCTGTAATCTCAGCGCTTTGGGAGGCCAAGGTAAGAGGCTTGAGGCCAAGAGTTTGAGACCCCATCTCTAGGAAAGGTAAAAATATTAGCTGCATGTGGCGATGTGTGCCTGTAGTCCCAGCTACTCAGGAGGTTGAGGTGGGAGGATCACTTGTGCCCAGGAGTTTAAGGCTGCAGTGAGCCATGATCGTGCCACTGCACTCCAGCCTGGGTGACAGAGTAAGACCTTGTCTCAAAAATAGAAGAAGAAAAAGAAAAGTTGGCGGGAGCACAATTCAGAAGAGACACCAGAAGAAGGCCACAGACTCCAGGCAGGCTTTAGTCTTGAGTCAGAGGGGCCTCAGTTTGCCCTCCCCAGGGGCTGCAGCTCAAGAAGGGCCTGGCGGTCCTCCAGGGCCTGCCAGCAGCTATAAGGCAGGCCCCTGGCCCATGGGGACCTCCAGCCACTCCCTGTGGTTTTGCAAGCCAGCACTTACCACTGTGCTCAGCAGAGCATGGGACAGCTGCCTCGTGGGCCCAGAAGAAGGGGCTTCTCTGCTTTAGTGATGAGGTCCCAGCCCACGCTGCTAGGCACTGCTGTGGCACCCCCTGCGGCAGTCCCAGACTCAAGCAACCCCCAATGGCCGTGTGTGGAAGGAGGAAGCGAGAATGTGGTTACTTAGGCAGGGCCATGTGACAGCCCACACCCCCTTGTTTGTGACAGCTTTGGTGACACTGTTGATAAAGACAGGGTGGGTAGTAAGGCACCTCCTAGGTCTGACATTGCTCTTGGTTTCCCATAACTGTGAAAACACTAAGAACCAAGTAGAAATTTTCCGGGGAGAAGTTCTTCGGCTGGCGGTGGGGCCCAAACTGAGAAAGGCCACAGCATCACTTCAGCGGCAGTGGACGGTCGGGGCCAGAGGGGGCCCCCTGAAGGACAGGAGTGACCAGACAAAAAGGAGAATGGTCTCGCTTCTTGCCCAAGATTGGCGGGGGGTAGAGAGGGGGTGGAAGGTGGTCGGGGAGTAAAAAACACAAAATATGAATCTTCAAAGGGTTTGCAAATATGGTGTATTTCTTCTTGCAGGACTCAAACCACTCTCTCTAGATGCATAGCACAGGCCCTTCTAGCTGCAACCAAGATCCTCTCTAGGGAGCTGGACTACAGATTCCACAAGGGCAAGGCCTGCTTATCTTATTTCTTCATCCTAAATTTATTCATTTGACCAACTCTGGCACTCCAGACCGCATGCCCTGAGGTCCAAAGGCCAGCAATTCTGGGCTGTGGCCCTCCGGTAGCCCTTCATCTGCTGGGGAGGCTGGCGAGTAAACAAGTCAATGGAACATTATGCCACAATGACACAGCGCAGTGAGTGCCATCCTGCGGTAAGCAAGGGAGGGGCCTCTCCTTCCATCCTGGGTGGGGGAGGGAGGTTAACAGGAGGAGCTTCCAAGAAGTGGCACTTGCGATGACAAGCCAGGTGGGCAGCCGAGGCACAGAGCACAGCAGAGGCAAAGGCTGGGAGGCCTGAGAATACCCAGACACGTCCGGAAGGGAGGAAATAGGGGGTCTCCCAGGGTCTGCCCTGCAGCTTTGCACCAGGCAGGGGCTCAGGACATGTACAGAAAGATACTTATATCTTGCCTTGCACACAGGTTATTTTAAAATGAAAACCAGAAACCCAGCAGGTGTTTGCCATGACACAGTCTCAGTCACCTTAGGAAGATGCAGCTAGAAAGAGCCAAAAGCTCACCCTGCCTGCACAGACGGGGAAACTGAAGCCACAAGAGGGGAAGTGAGACCCCTAGAACCCAGGCCCCTCACCCTTCCCCAGCAGGTTTGGAAATAGCCAGCCTTCAGGGACAGGGGACTGAGAAACTCTAAACAGACCCAAGTCTGCCTGGAGGTCACTCTCTGATGAGGGGAGGTGAGCGGTTGCAAGCTGTCTGTCACTTCCAGCCTGCCACGTGGTTTTCTGCAGCTTGTGAGCTAAGAATGGTGGTTACATTTTTAAGTGGCTGGAAAATGTTTTGTGATGCATAAAAACTGTGTGAAACTCAAGGTTCCGTTTCCATAAAGTTTTCTTGGGATGCAGCCACACTCATTGGTGTACACACATCGCCTCTGGCTGCTTTCACGTTGCAGCAGCAAGAGTTGAATAGTTTCATCACCTGCAAAGCCTCACAACACAAACGTTTAACATTTCCTGAGCCTGTGGTCAATGCCAGGCCCTGTGGTAGGTGCTCTGCATGTATCAGCTCATATAATCCTTGAAGCTGCCTTTAGAAACGAGGAGACTGAAGCTCAGAGGGAGAATGTGCCTTGCTCAAGGTCACACAGAGTAATGGCAGAGCCAGGACTCAAGTCCAGGCAGACGGAATAAAGCTCTTGATCTTAACCCCTAGCCTGGGATGGTGTGGGCTGAACGGTGAGCTCTGGTACATCAGCAAGTACTATATGTAAGGAAAAAGGAGTAGCTTAGTGGCAGGTAAGCTATTTCTTCTGTGTGTGTGACAGGGTCTTGCTCTGTGGCCCAATCTGGAGTGCAGGGGCGTGATCATAGCTCACTGCAGCCTCAAACTCCTGGTCTCAAGCAAGACATCCTCCTGCCTCAGCCTCCCCAATAGCTGTTACGGGCGCGCACCGCCACACCCAGCTCACCTATTTCAAGGTGAGACTTGAGCAGCGAAATTTCCTTCTCAGAGGAGCAAATATTGCTAAGAGAAATTTGGTGTATGTCGTCTGTGTGAAGACCGTAAAACCACACTTCACCGCACCTAACATCTGTGAGAGTCAAAGATTCAAAGTGAACACATTTCTGCTTCTAGGAACGAAGCCCAGAAAAAAATACTCAAGATGTCTTCCAAGATTGAAGCAATGATATCTGAGGTAAGAGAAATACTGGGAAAAAACACAGACTCCCATACTACAGAAACCTGTCCCTTGATGGAATGTGATGCAGGCAGGCAAGTCATATTTATATTGAATGCTTATAAAGCGCTCAAGACCTGTTAGGTAGAAAAGAGAGGGTACAGAAGTATATAAGCAGCATAATTCACGTGTGCTTGGGTGCTGAGAGGACAGACTGAAAGAAATGCTCACAGTGCCTATCTCTGCGTGGCATAATTATGAATGGCCCTTTCCTTTCAAATATATTTTCTTTTCTGTATTTGTATATAGAAAAATGTATATAGGCTGGGCGCGGTGGCTCAAGCCTGTAATCCCAGCACTTTGGGAGGCCGAGACGGGTGGATCACGAGGTCAGGAGATCGAGACCATCCTAGCTAACACGGTGAAACCCCGTCTCTACTAAAAAATACAAAAAACTACCCAGGCGAGGTGGCAGGCGCCTGTAGTCCCAGCTACTCGGGAGGCTGAGGCAGGAGAATGACGTGAATCCGGGGGGCGGAGATTGCAGTGAGCTGAGATCCGGCCACTGCACTCCAGCCTGGGTAACTCCGTCTCAAAAAAAAAAAAAAGAAAAAAAGAAAAAGAAAAATGTATATAATGATGTCTATTTCACATTTTGGTTTTTTTGTTTTTTTGTTTTTTTGAGACAGAGTCTCGCTCTATCTCCCAGGCTGAGTGCAGCGGCACGATCTCAGCTCACTGCAACCTCTGCCTCCTGGGTTCAAGTGATTCTCCTGCCTCAGCCTCCCTAGTAGCTGAGATTACAGGCACTCACTACCATGCCCCATTAATGTTTGTATTTTTAGTAGAGACAGGGTTTTGCCATGTTGGCCAGGCTATTCTCAAGCTCCTGGCCTCAAGTGATCCACCCGCCTCTGCCTGCCAAAGTGCTGGGATTATAGGCATGAGCCACCATGCCTGGTCTACTAATTTGTTTAATTGTCACAACTGCCTTATGAGGTAGTTTGCTATTAGTATCCCCATTTTGTAGATTAAAAAAAAAAAAAAAGTTCCAGAGAGCTTAAGTAACTCGCCTAAGGTCACAGAGCTGGTTAGTGGCTAAGCCAGAGTCTGAACCTAGGGTGTCCTATGAAAGAGCCTGCATTCAATCACAATAAATATTGGTTCGATATATAAATGATTCCAGCTCCTCCTTGCAGAACTTGCCTGCTGTGATTGGTCTAAGAGGACCCAATGCTCCCCACCTCCTCTCAATGTGAGCTATTTGGGGTGTAGAGCAGGAATTGCAATCAGCAAAGACAGTAGGTGTTAGGTTCCTCTCTCCACTGGAGCCCACTAGTGGGCTAGCCTGGGAAGCAAGGGCTGTTTATGGGTCTTCTGGGAAAAATGTGCTCCTGGTTGTAACTAACGGCCTGCTACTGTTGGAACAGCCCCATGTTAAAGCAAAAACATGGCTCACTGGGCTCCTACTTGGAGCTCTCTCACATGTGGATCCTGAGCAACTAGAGATTTGGTATTCAAACAAACAACCTATAACCTCCTTATACTTAAATGATCATCTGTGCACTAAATTCAGTCTTCCTTCCATTCGCTGATGGATGAAAATGCCTGCAACCTCATGGTGGCCCCCAGTCCCAAGAGGCGCCACCACAGCCTGCACAGCTGCATGTATGCAGTGGCCTATTGAATTGCGTGTTGCTTCTTTGCTGTTTCGGGGTGGGGGACCGTTCCCACCAGTGACAAGCACAGCTGTAAGAAAGCCTCACACTCCAGAGGCAAAGACAGGAAGTCTTGGGTGCCAAAAGCCAGCGCAACTTAACTTCAGCCTGGTATTTACCAAGCTTAGGTTGGTCAACAGTACAGTCATTAAAGAAAATGAAAAATTAAACATTTGTGGAATGCTGGAAATATGTGGCAAGGACTGTAACTGACAGGCCAGGTATGGCCTGAGATTTTATAATCTATGTGTAACTTGCCAGGAAGTTATCCCTCCCTGACAAGGTGCTGGCTTCCTATGAGAACCTGTGTCCGCTTCCCTAAAAATGGGGAAAAATGGGGAAAAAAGGGGTGGCGTCGCTCATAGAATCCCACCTCCCTTCCCAGTGGTCATGATCCCTCTGAGGAAGCTGAGGCTCTGAGGTGGCGCAGGAGGGCACAGGCAGACTGGAGCCCAGCCAGACTGCAAAGCCCGTTCCTTCCTCCGAGGAAAGCAAGAGTCTTGCTGGTTGTGCCACTTGTTTCTCAGGGCAGTGGTCTTTTCAGTTTACTCACAATGGGACCTTTTGTTTGAATGAAAGCAATGGTCTCATGAAATAGAATAAGAACAGAGCTCCTTGCAAGCAAGGCCCAGAAGGGAGGGGAAGTCACGCCCAACTGCCTGCCCTCCCCCGCTCTCCTGGGGCTACAGCTTGCTGATTTGAATCATCCAAAGGGGAAATGGTCCACTGTGGGCCTGGTCCAGCCAGGATTCAATTCCCTTTCTCAAATGGGAACAGAGCTCTGGGGAGCTTACTTTCGGCCCCAGATTTTGGTTGCCAATCTGGGTGGCACTAGCAACCAGTTTCTGGGCTGGAGACTGCAGCATGAAGCCATTTCTCGAGCGGAAGAAAACAGGGGCTCCCCAGCTCACTGGGTCTGCTTGGGCTGGGGGTGGCCAGCGCTGCTTGTCCCAGGCCTGGAAGGCCAGAGGGCAAGCAAATGTTAGAAATGTACTCCAGACTCTGTGATTCTTCCCCAGAGGGTAGCGGCTGGAGGAATGCATGCCTCTGGCAGACATCCTCAATCACCTGGCCTCAAAGACCCCTGGTAAGGGGTCTTTAGGGGAGAAACCTTGGTGTTGTTCGAGAAGGCCAGGCGCCTAGCAATAGGAGTCCTGGGATATTTCCTGGAATTTAAGATCAGAAATAAAGCTGGACCTTAGGCATGGACTTGGGGAGCTACAGGGACCCAGAAGCCCTCTTCATCACTGTGTACCTGCTCTTCCTGTGTGGTGCCTGGCTTCCCCAACTCCAAGGCCCCCATAAAGGAAAACCCAGATCTGATGCCACTGATGGTGGCTCCAAGGGGCTGACAGGTCACCTGGAGTTGACTGTGGTCCGGGACAGTCTTATTCGGTGAGAAAAGCACTGCTGGGCAGATAATGCAATATGTATTCCCATCCCAGATAATGTCTATATTTTCAACTGTTCAGTCATTCAGTAAGTACTGATTGACACATCATGCCAGATTCTGGGGATCCTGGTGAAGGAAACCAGTGCCTGTCCTCATGCGGCTTATATTCAATTCAGGGAAGACAGTCAAAACTCCTATGAGATGATAGATCAGCTATCAGTGGCACTAGGGTGCTACGGGCACTATTTACGTATGGGGGTCAGATGAAATGCTGGGAAGGGCAGACACTGGAGGTGGGGAAAGGATGGGCACTCCTGAGAGAACAGCACATGCGAAGCTCAGAAGTAGGAGGCCTCCTGAACACAAGAGAACATCAGGAGAGGATGAGGGGCGGCAGGGCAGGCAACACAGGGCCTCCTAAGCTAGTGGTGAGGATTTAGTTTTTATTCTGAGTGGGATGGGAAACCACGGAGGGTTTGAAGCCTTAGATACAGGGGTCAACGAGCTTTTTCTTAAAGGGCTACACAGTAAATACTTTAGGCTTTGTGGCCATACAATCTCTGTTGCAGCTACTCAACTCTTCAAGTATAGAGAAAAAGCAGCCACAGACAAGGCATGGTGTGTTCCAATAAGCTTTACTGATGGACACTGAAATTTGAATTTCGTATCATTTTTTACTTGTCAGTAAATCTTGTTTTTCCCCCAACCATTTAAAAATATAAAAACCATTCTTAGCTCGTGGGCTACAAAGAAGCTTCCGGCAGGTTGGAGTTAGCCCATGGGCCTTAGCATGCCTTCCCCCGCCTTAATACCTGAAAAGGTGACTATGGCTGCAGCTCTGAGAACAGATTCAAATGGCTGGGGGAAGCTGGGTTAGGAAGCTGTGATTGTTAACCTTGTCAACTTGATTGGGCAATGGGGTGCCCAAATATCTGGTGACACGTTACCCCGGGTGTGTCTGTGAGGGTTTTCTGGATGAAATGAACATTTGTATCTGTGGGTTGAGTAGAGCAGGTTGCTCCCTCTGGTGTGGGTGGGCGGATCCATTCCGTTGAGGGCCTGAATAGAACAAAAAGGCTGAGTAAGAAGAAATTCCTCGCGGGTGCGGTGGCTCACGCCTGTAATTCCAGCACTTTGGGAGGCCAAGGTGGGCAGATCACCTGAGGTCAGGAGTTTAAGACCAGCCTGGCCAACATGGGGAAATCCTGTCTCTACTAAAAATACAAAAATTAGCCAGGTGTGGTGGCGCATGCCTGTAGTCCCAGCTACTTGGGAGGCTGAGGCAGGAGAACTGCTTAACCCAGGGGGCAGAGGCTGCAGTGAGCCAAGATCATGCCACTGCACTCCCGCCTGGGAGACAGAGTGAGACCCCATCTCAAAAAAAAAGAAAAAAAGAAAAAGAATTACTCCTGCCTGACTGCCTTCAACCTGGGACCTCAGTTTTTAGTTGCTTTCTGATCTGAACTGAAAAACTCAGCTCTCCTGGGTCTCTCTGGTTTGTTGACTGCAGATCTTGGAGCTTAGCAGCCTCCATAATCATGTGAGTCAATTCCTTATAATACATCCCGATCTCTCCTCTTCCCTCATGCAGACAGACCCTATTGGTCCTCTTCTTCTGGAGAATGCTAATACAGAGGCTCTGTCCACGCAGAAGTGATGGGAGCACAGGCTAGGGGAGTCACCGTGGAGGTGTGAGAAGTAGCTGGGATATGGGCGCACTGTGAAACAAGAGCCTGGGTGTGGGATATGACAGAAGAGACAGGAGTCAAGGAGGCTCAGAGGTAGAAGAGCATGAACTTCCTCCTGTAGACAAAAGGGATACTCACTTGTATCTCCTTCAGAGACTTTGACAGAAAACATCACTCTAGAAGCAAAACAGGGAACAGGTGGCTGGAGGCAGAGAAACCAGTTACAAGGCTGTTCAGACACTAGACTGGTATCTACATGGGGAGGCACCTGACAGGTGGCCAGATCCCCAGATGGAATCTCCACCTTGTGGCTTATGAGGCATTCTGGGCCACTGCCTCTTGAAGACACTGCTTAGGGTGATAAGAACTCATTTTGCATTTGGGGAGCTGTAGGTGGGGATGGTGATAAGCAGCCCAGGATTTTGTTCACCAAGAGGTATTATTCCAACTTCCACAACCCAAATAGCATCTCCGCCCGGAAATGAAGCTGCAACAGCTCCCTGTCATGGAGGGGGCACTTCCTAGTTCTCAGACCTCATCACTAGAGCCCCCAAGCTTGGATGTTGTTGCTGAACCCCCTCAGGGCACTGAGCATCAGCCTGAGTACCTCTCCTGACTGGACCAGGGGTCACTTGCTGCACTACAGTTCTCTCCAGCCCCGTGACACTCTCACTGTAAATATAAATTCTCACCCAGTGAATGCCAAGACGAATCCAACCCTACCTAGTGGGGGAGAGGAGATTAGGAAATGGGTGATGAGAGGTACATGGCTTCTGGAAAGGGAGCCCTGCTGCTGGGGGCCTGAGAGGCACCCAGTGGAGAGGAGCCTGGACAACCTTGGCAACCAGCCCCCTGACCGCGTTCCACAGCATTTCCGGGGCCCAGGCACCCTGTGTGTGACCCCTTTCCACTGTAACTAGGCCTGCTCCCTGCTCTTCCCCTCGAAGACACAGATGACTGCTCCTCTCTGGCAGCCCAAAGCTTTCTCTGCCCCCACAGCTGCCTGTGGGCCTTTGTCTGAGCCACTTCTCCCCAGTTCTGTTCCAAACCCACCAGAAAGTCCTTCCCTAAAAGTCCACTTACTCTTTGAGATCAGTGTGAGGAAGCTACTCAAAGAACAAAACTAAGCACCCAGTGGTGAGTGCCCAAGCTCAAGTGTACAGATTTTTTCTGACAGCAGAAGAGACCTGTTTACTTGTCTTCCAAGTTGAGTCCTGAGGTGGAATAACTTCCTCCTCTGACTTCTGCCCTCAGCCTCCCTAGGCAATGGCCCCGACATTGCTTTCTAGCCCCTCACCATGAAGCCTGTCAGGGACCCGTGTGCCTCACCCTCTATCTGCCACTCACTAAACTCAGGATCCTAAAATCTGCCCTCTTACCCATTTTCGTTCACATGAATTAAACGCCAACTACAATGAATTTGAAGGATCCCATCTGCCTCTCTAAACTCACCTTCCTCCACATTTTAGCCAATCCAACCAACTCAGCAGCCACCTTATCCTCAAGGATCTTGGATGTGCAGTAATTCCCATCTCCCACCCAGCCCTCCTGACACTCGCCACAGGGGAACTTTCACCCGGCACAACACGGACAGCGTCGCCTAGTGAACACACCCCCACCCCACGCCCCAAAGTTCGAAGTTGAGAATAAGCCATTTGCTGGTGGACTCGGTTCCCACAGGAGGGACGAGGATGGCTGCCATCTGCACATCAGCTGCCTGGGACTTAACATTTCGCACGTCACGTTTCAAACAGAGGCAGCAGCTGCAGCTGAGATGAAGCATATCCAAGTATACTTAGCCCTTACTATATTGGAAGAAAACATATTTCCCAGTTCCGATGACCTTCATTTTCTGCTGTATTCAAGTCTTACATAATTTAATTTTTATATAGCCAATCTGTCTTTTCTTTTGTGATGTATTGCATTGCTTTAGGGCTTACATTTTTTTTCTCTTGTCTGAAGTGTAGATTAAAAGGGACTTACTTTCTTCTAAATAGAAAAAGAAAAGGTTTTAACTGTGGACTCCCATTAAGAATGTATATGGTGTCCCTGCTGCCCCCACAGCTAACCAAATGTTGCTGCACCATTTCAAACATCTCCACTGATTTATGCTTATCTTAATAATTATTAATTTACCACTAATACATTAATTTTAACAATGCCTTTCTGGGAATAAATATATTTATAGGAAACGTATAAATTCAGAAAAATAGGATTAAATAGAAATTACACACAACTTTACTTCCCTATAGCAATAACAACATTTCTGGTATTTATTCCACACATAAGTATACATTGTATATGCATACATCCTTTAAAAAGTTTGTCACAAACCATCTGTTCTGGGGTGGTCTTACATATCTGTATTAGGAAACCTACACTTCTCACTAGAAGTTCTGGTCCTGAATGTTCTTATGAGGTCCAACGGACTTCACTTTCTTCCCCATCTTACTTCTAAATGGATAAGCCAACTAACATCATTTACTGTAGAGTGACTCCATGGGGTAGAGAGCTGATGAGAATTACTTTGTAAACACACTTTTACTTTTTCTGCTGACATCAGCAACACAGTCCACTGTAGGGCACTTGGAATACACAGAAAAAACTTGGTAATGACATCCAGCACCCAGAAATAATATACTTTCATCCTTCAACCTAGGTAGGTATATATTTTAAACCCAAGTTGGAATTGACTCTATTTTACTATTTTTTTTTAATCTTTCCTATTCAATACTTTTTTTTTTTTTGGAGACGGAGTCTTGCTCTGTTGCCCAGGCTCAAGTGCAGTGGCACGATCTGGGCTCACTGCAAGCTCTGCCTCCTGGGTTCACGCCATTCTCCTGCCTCAGCCTCCCGAGTAGCTGGGAGTACAGGTGCCTGTCACCACGCCCGGCTAATTGTTTTGTATTTTTAGTAGAGACAGGGTTTCACTGTGTTAGCCAGGATGGCCTCGATCTCCTGACCTCATGATCCGCCCGCCTCGGCCTCCCAAAGTGCTGGGATTACAGGCTTAAGCCACAGCATCTGGCCTCAATACTCTTTTTAAATGACTTTAAATAACGAAACAGTATTATAACATATGAATATGACAAGTAACTTACTGACCCCCTTCTGCAGAGTTGATTTTACTCTTCTAATTCCTGAATATACTTCCCACTAGTTCCCTGGGACAAAATTTCCAAAGGTGGGAACCCTGGGTCTTAAGAAAACATTTAAGGCTTTTGATACACTTGCCAGACTGCCCTCTGGAAAGGCTGTCCACCCCGCACATACCCTCTTCTCGCAGGAAAGAACTGCCACCCCTACATTCTTTGGCAAGGGACTTCTTTTTAGTGAACAAAAGAGCACAAAGGGCACTGTCCAGCCTGGACATCAAGGGTTGCCCGTCTGAAGCAGGAAAGGTGTGCCCTTGACAGTGACTTATGTCCGTGACCCACCGCCAGCACTGGGATACTTTAATGTGCCAGCAGAAAGAGAAGGGGCCACTTAGAGTTAACAGATTCTTAAGAGCCAACAAAGAGTTTTTCTGGATGTAGAATACCAAGTACAGCAAGGGAAGTGACCTTAAAAAAAAAATGGAAGTTCCCCCCAGACGAGGTCTGGCTGGCTGTCTGGGGCCAGCATGCTGACCTTCAGGTCTTCTGGCAAAGAATCAAGGTGGCCCGAGTGAGAAAACAAGTTAGTCATAAACAGACTACCACGCGTCTCCCGGCTGACTGCGGGCACCTCGGGTCTACAGAGAGCCCTGCCAGCTTCTACTTCCTGCAGCCACGGGTGGACTAAGAACATGGCTGCCATTCTTCTCACAGACTAAAGCAACTTTAAGATAAGGCCTTTGAGGAAGGGGAGCTTTATGCTGACTATTCATCATATTCACAAACATTCAGAAAAAGCAAACAGTGGGAAATTCTTTGCTACAATCACTGAAATGTCACGAGACAATGTCATAGTTCAAAAGGGAAGCCCTGCAATTCAACTGACCCTAGAAGCCTGCTGGAATAAAAGTCACAGCTGAGCCAAGAGAATATTGCTTCTACTGAAGAAAAATTGCTTTCAAAGGCTCTGTCAGGAAATCAACTCATAGTATAATAGAACAGTGGCAGCCATGCAGCGAGGGTTCTTTGTGTGGCCACACAGGTATTCCTCTCATCTGAACTACATGGAATTATCATCCTCCTCGCAAGAAAAGGGACTCACAGGGATTAGGAACCCCATCCCAGGACACACCGCTGGCAAAGGTCTGAGGCAGGATCCAAAGGCCCAGGTCTGTTGGAAGCCAAAACACAGTGCTTAACTGGCTTGGAGACCTCACTTGCACTTGAGCTGAGCCACCCGCACGCGCTTCCCCTGTACTCACCCCCAGCGAGGAGTATGCCTCCGTGCTCATCCACCAAAGTCAGAGAAGCTATGTCAGGCAGAGAGGTGGGGGCTGCCTCACAGACAGCCAAGGTGTGAAATAAACACAAACACCATTTTGTAATCAATGATTTTTATCTCTGAAAATGGAAGCAAGTGTTTTGACAGAACACTATGGCCACTCTATAAGAGCCGACGTAGGAATAATTCACTGTCCTCTTGCGGGATGTCAGGGCTTTTAAAAAAAAAAAAAAAAAAAAAAGACAAAACAGGAAAATAATCCACAATGCTTTGGGCGCCTACTCTGAGCTTGGCTGGGCTTATTCATTAAATAAGTCATAAGCTACAAACTAATATCAGGGTAACTTTCCCTTGGCCTCCTGCTTCTCTTTGAACCACATGCCCTACGGTGTTTCACCACCATCAACAACAACTTTGTTTACTTCATTAATTCGATATCAGAACCTTAAAACATTTCTGAATCTTAGACACAAAGGTCCTCAGCAGATTACACTGATAAAGAAACAAATACAGGTTTGAATATAACTCATTGTCATTATTGTTTTCTTTACATCTCATGATCCACTTCAATATTAAACACACACATACACACACACGAAACCACATCAAACATTCAGATGCCCTGAAATTGTGGAGACAGCACTCCCAATATTGGCTGGATAAGAACACGGTCCTTTTTCTATACGGGCATTACTCCAAGTTCAGCTGCCACCACACTCTGCCCTCACCCTGGCTCCCTGAATACAGACGTTTCCAACCAGTCCCACGCCCACACCAGCACGAGCATGTGCAAGAATTCCCTTCATGGTCCCAATGGCACTACACATTTCACGTTCAATCACAGACAGCCCTTCCAAAACAGAGGCTCCTTACATCTTGTTTCCCAAGCATGTACTATAAGAAATTGGAAATGGGGCAAAGTTCTAGCTAACCGAGGAATGAACAGGCAACCAGAGCTCAGTCTCTGGCCCCCTCCAAGTCTGGGGAGCCTCTGTGCTTTGATGCAGCCTTGGTGAGAGATGGAGAGGTGGGGCAGATTAGTTGTGCAGAGGGACACGTTTGTACACATTAAAGCTACAGCAGAGGTCTGCGTTCCTGTTTCTGCTTCACTCTCGATCATTCTCCTCAGTCTCAATATTCATTCAATCGCACCCTCTGGCCTCATCTTAGCTTAATGTGGTTAGAGCTAAAAGGCAGGCAGGAAAGAAGGAATGGCTGGGAGAGCCCTGAGAGAGGTCGCAGCACATGTGAGGAAGAGGGTAGAGCAGGAGCTTTGTTGGTGGAAGAAGAGCCACTTCCTCCTCCAACATAGCATGGGGACAGCACGGGGACACAGGATCACCCAGGGCAAATACCCCTCTCCGAATGCCCTCATTTTTAGTCCCCACCACTGTACTCAAGAGTTGGGCAAGCTGCTGAAAAGGGCAAGAACGAACACTCAGCAGTACACACGTCTTCCTGTCCCGGGCACCCTTGTCAAGTATTGACCAAAACCTGAAACATGATGTTTAAAGTGATGAATGCAATAGATCCTAGGTGTGTAACAAACTGCAGAAACACATGCTAGTTTGGGTTAGATTATAATCATCTGAAGCACAGGATAACCAAGAAGCAAAATTCCATTCTGGTACAAACACCCGATTTCTAGAAAAGAGAAAGGAAAGGAAGAAATACGATGTGAGTTTTTTTGATCAGAAGACTCCATGAAATGAGAGCGGTGGTAATATGAATCCACGTGATTTTTCAAGGCTTCCTGTTGTACAGTCATCAGAATGACCAGGTTTGTGCTGCAAAGGAGCCAGCACCATGTGGCTACTGCTTTGATTGTTCTCAGATGAATGTTTATACAAAATAATATCTTATCTTCATTTAGTTTATAAACATACACAGTGCTGTCCCTTTCAAATTAAGGAAAAAAAACCACACACAAATACTGCAAAGTAGCAAAATACAAAGGAAAACAAAGCTACTTTTGGTTTTGGCAACATTAAAAAAGAAAGAAATATAAAAAGCAATGTGGCATTGGTCCCTATTCGTTTAAAAAAAAAAAAAAGGGTACTTGGGCACGACACAATCAGAATTAGTTTGTTTTCTAAAATTCAGAGTATCTGGGATTTTAAAAGTAGCACTTTTTAAAAAGTTCAACAAGTCACATAACACTTAAAACATCAAAAAAGCTTTCTGATAAAAAGCTCAGCTTTTAAATCACGTTTTGTTTCTGCAAATTTGGGAGACAAATTGAGTTCTTACTGGAATGTGGCCTATGGCTGGTTGACAACTCTGAAATGGAATGTCTCCAAATGGCAGTGCCTCCCTTTCCGCCCTCCCTAGGACCACACCAACAACCAGCTCCCAAGCACAAGTTCTTGCTCCCATTTTTTTGTAGGGGTGGGGGTGGGACCTTCAGGCTGCTATCTTCGCCATCTGCTGTTCTAACTTGGAAATACGCTCATCTTGATTGCAGATTGTGTCTTTTATAGATTTGATCTCTTTTAAAATCTCAT